GAAGGCACGAGAATCCTAGGGCTGGCAGAGATGAAGGTAGGATATCCTATGTTCGGTCTCACGCTGATTGCAGATAGCTAGATGCTGGCTTGATCCCTAAAGCAGAAGTTTTAATTTCCTGTCCCAAAATTGTTGTCATTGTTAATTATGTCTGTGGATATTCTTGCGATCCATATAAAAAAACCTCTCCCTTGTAAAACTCTATTAAATTCTTGGTCTCAGTACCACCCTGTGGCAGCAAGTTCCACTGTTTAATCACTTGCTGAAGTGAGCAACTTTCCTTTGAGCAGACTTGAATTTGGCATCTTTTAATTTTGTTGAATGTCCCCTTGTTCCTGAATTGTGGAACTTGGGAAAAAGCAAAGCACACATGCCTCTGCAGTGCATTGCAACTTGGCCATTCAAGTTCTTTTACAGTGAACACAAGCATTTTAGTTAGTTTTTTTTTTTTTTTTTTTTTTAAGAATCAGGCCCAGTTTGAGTCTTGCTAAGCAAAGTAGGACATCCCTTTAGAAATGGATCTATTCTGTGCCAGTGATTCACAGACTGACATAGCCTCCTCTGGGTTGGTTTTTCAGTTATGTTTCCATTTTCATCTTTGGGTGAGAAGAATTAGTTGACAAGAACATACAGGCACCAAGTCTCAACTTGCAGGCTGCGGTCAGTTTCCTGCAGGCTTTGCATACTTCTCTCACCACGGAACGTTTCCTGCACAAAACTCTGACTGTACAGATGACACTTGCTAGCCACTTTGGTGCGGCTCATCCAGGTGTAGTAGGATAACATGGCTACCCTTGCCTAACTCTTAAGCAGGATGCTTTTCCTGTACATAAACTTCTGACTCTCTCTACCCTGCAGCCCTACAAATGCATCATTCCACATGGGAGTAGTCCTGTTTTAGCTCAGCAGATCTATTCATATGGAGAGAGGCACTGGCATGCATGAGAGTTTATTGGGGCACCTTGTTAGTAGGAGGCACACCCATAACAGAGATACTGATAGGGCACTGGGACCCAATACTGTATTAACAGCAATGTAGCATCCAGGCAAAGGCATAGCTGGGCAGTTCTGTGCCCTGGGCCACAACAACATACAGGGCAGTGGTTGTATGTTGAATTAAGAAGGTGGAAGCTATTTTTGTCATCCCCCCTCCGCCCACAAGTCAGTGCTTGCTCTTACACACCTTAGTTATGCTACTGGGTCCAGGGCTGGGAAGCAGGAGAGTTATACCAAGTTAAGTGTCTGTGTCCATCTTGAGACAACTTTTCACTGATGGCGAACAGGATCTGATCAGCTTTACCACCACCTAGAAGTGAGGCCTACTGCATACAGCTGCTCTGGGGTAACAGCCAGTGCAATGGACACTGCCATACAAAACAGATATAAGTGCTACTAGGCTAGGTAATCAATCACCTGTCCATGCCCTTAAAACTGTGAAGTTTTCGCTACTATTTGCTTCCACCTTCTTCATTCAAGAAGATCTCAAGACTCATGCTGTGTTTACAAACTGGACTTTGTCTTGGTCAGCTAGCAGCTGAAAGCCTGAAGTAAGAGTTCTCCCTTTCCTTTCTGATCACACCTGAGAAGGGCGACACCAACCACAGCAAGGAAAAATGGGCTTAAAAGTTTCTTGTTTTGACTCAGCTCTAAGCACTTAGGTAGCAAAACTCCCATTGAACAGCAGGGCCAAGATTTCACTTAAGGTATTTTTTTTTTCTTTTTTTAATTACTAACAGCTTTCCCAAGGGAGGTCGTAAGGCCTAATAGATAGGATGCTAGCCTGGGACTCAGGTGATCATTTGTTTCATCTTACTGGCTCATCAAGACAAGTGCTGTCCATCTCCATGCATTATACATAGTACAGACCCAACAGGGCCCTGATCTATGGGATGGACTTTGTAGTTGCTAATGTCTTTGATTAATGACTCCTGACAGCATGCACTGGATAGTGCCCCAGCATCAGTGCCTTGGCCTGTATTGGTATAACCAAGGGAAAAGCCCAAGACTGAGCTTCCCTGAGGTCAGTTACCATTTGGACTTATTCCTTCACATTCCTCCCTCTCTCTGCCCCTTGTTCCCTCTGCCTCTAGGATGCTGCTAGCACTTGGACTGTGCTGTGCTGGATCTAATGAGATCCACCTTGTCTGGCTATCAGGCTGCAGAATAGCACTACATCTCTCTGCAGGGTCTGAGCACCTAACATTCACCTTGTTCTTTTTTACATAGATCAGGATTGGGGAAAGGAGCTGAGATTTGCAAACAGCAGGTGTTGGACACCTTAGAGAGACAACAAGCTGGTGAAGGGAATGCTCAGTGTCTTCAGTACCTTCATAAGTGGGGTGGGGAGAATTAAAATATACATACTTTACTTATACATGTAACTACCCCTACATTTAAATAAGGTTAGTAAAAGCAATAACAAATATCAAGCAGAGTGGTTATAGCAAACACTGAACTCAGTGGTTGAAGGGACATGGCTGACACTTCCCAATGCAAGTGAGTACAGCATTAATACATCTTTGTGCATTTGTATCTATGTGCATACAGAAGCACACTTGCACCGAGGAGAGCTGGTGTCATTAGTCCTGTCCAGTTATTTTCATTATAATCTGAGCAAAAATATGTGGATGAGCTCTCACGTGACAGGTATGAGAACTCACCTCCTGGGTGGTCATCGAGGAGGGACTGTGTGCATGGAAATGACATGGAGAATTTCAAAAAGAGGGGCCAGTACACAGATCTGGGAAGAGGGGGGGGTTGAAGATCTGACCTTGGCACCTCCCTTTTCTGTGCATTTGTCCATTCCCATCCATTTTAATCTTTAGGCTGTAAGCTCTCCAGGGCACTCTGGACAGGACCCGCGACAATGAAATTCCAGTCTGGGTGGGGACCTCCAGATACTAATAAAAGGCCAGATCCATAGAAGGTGGTAAAGCGGGCACCTAAATCTAAGTGTGTCCCCTCTGACACCCCAGCTCGGCTGCTACCAACTCTGAAGCTACAGCTTTTACTGACAGTAAGACTGTGCCTCTGTCCAGAACTGCACCAGTCTTGTCAGAACAGAGCAGCTTGGTCTCCAGTACACACCTAAACCTAATCAGGATCCAGATAGATGTCCTTCTTCCTAATCCTCCTGATGGCCTCACACCAGCAGGCATTTTCAGCATATGCCCTCCACACCCCAGCAGGACTGAGATCCTCACAAAATGCAGTGGCAGCTGCCACTTATTCAGATATAAACAAAGAAATGGTTCAGGGAGTGGACCTTAGGAAGTTATCCTCTCATCCCACCCTAGTACATTCTCCACAAACCACAGGGTCATGCCCCTACCCCCCTCGTTTGCTCTCTCTGACCAAGGCATCTTGATTTCCTGCCTGCGCAGCAGCACAGTGTCAGTAGGACAGGTGGAGAGGGGCCTGCTGTAGAACAGCCTCTAACCTGCTAGGTGATGAGATGAAGGTCTGTATCTCCTCAGGGAACTTGAAATGAGTCTCCCACTTCCTGGGCAGCTGTTGTAACCAGTAGGCTATTTTTGGAAGAAGGGGGGCAGTGCCATCCCCAGCTTCTTCACTTGTGCTTTAGAGATGGAGCCCTGCTTGGTTCACTGGAAGAACAGGCACAGGTGCCTGGCTTCAGGACAGTCCAGGATTCCCAAGTGGATAGAGGTACTTCTCTGCAGCCCTGAGCTGGGCACGTAAGCTGTGGAGATGGCTGGGTGTGTGCACCTCCCCCTGCCTCAGTATTTCCTGTTACCAGGTAGTGGCCCACTGACTATCTGAGGGTCTGTTCTATGGTACTTCTCTTTCCCAGCCAGCGCGCAGGGAGCTGGGGCACTCAACACAGGGTTAACGATTCCATCATGGGGGCTGGATACCTCGGCACCTAACATTTTGTTCCCAAAGTCCTTTACTGGCGCTAGCTCGATTTAAATAACAAGTGCCCAAGATCCCCCCAATGTACTTTATCAAATTTAAATCCTGCCACATGCTGGTATTTAGCATGTGAAGTGATCTGTAATTAATCACATAATTGAGGCTTTTGTATTAAATTACACAGTGAGTCGGCAAACTTAACCTTCACAAGACACACACATTATTTTTGCTAGCTATCCTCTATCCAAAGCTTGAAGATGACAATGGGCCTTTCCTGCATTT